TGATCTGTTAGATCTGTATCCTGGTATCGAGTATGCTACTATGTTGTAGTGATCTGTTAGATCTATATCCCGGTATCGAGTATGCTGATATGATGTGGTGATCTTTTAGATTTGTATCCTGGTATCAAGTATGTTGCTTTGTTGTGGTGATCTGTAGAACTATATGTTATCTGTACTTGTTGTTTATCATCTAGTGGAGTGCCCTAGGGACTGTCTGTGGTGATGTAGGATAGCCTGAGAACTCTTGATTTAGGCTTTCTTTCCTGTTCCTTGTTTGGTTGTGGCTCTAGAGTATATTCATATATTCGGGTGGCTATCTCACCTCTGGTTACTTATGGTTACGCATTTCATGGAGGTTAGCTGGTAGCGGGACTATATGCTCTGAGAGGACTAGTAGGCGGTAATGAGCTGTATGATTGATGTTTGCATGTATTATGTGCATACTTGATCCTTGATTGTTTATGTGTCTGCATATGGTATTGGTGGGTTGAGGCGGTCCTGCTTTGTGCTATAGGCCAAGATACCCGTTGTGCGCCGGCTGTAAGCCAAAGGCCTGGAGGCTCGGGAGGAGCGGTTGGGTTGAGGCGGTAGACTAACAAACCCTGGTATTCCGACCCAGATAAATTGAAGGCCTGTGAGGCGGTCCAGTCAGGCCGAAGGCCCGAAGAGCGGCCATTATGCATGCTTGTATGTTTATCGTATGTGGTATTTTGGGGGAAACTCACTAAGCTTTGTGCTTATCCAGTTGTTTATTGTTTTAGACATCATCGGTCATCATGGGAAGGCGAAGGTGTGACTGTACACATTCATTAGCAACAATGAAGATTCTGCGTTTTAATATTACTCTGATTTTTAGTATTTGGAATAAATGGTTTTCCCCATAACGGATTTATAATTGGGAAGATTTACTTAAATAAAATGAAAATTTTTGGTTGGGAAAATGAGACGTTACCGGAAAATTCTTTTTTTTGAATGAAAAAAAATTGTAGATAGAAAAAAAAAACTTTTGAAAAACTACCATTGAAAGACTAAGTTTTTTCTTTTCTATTCTTTTTCAAAATATGCCTATAAATTAGTTTTAGCGCTTTTTGTAAATATTTTTGGTTTATAAAAAAAAGTTGATAAAGTGATTTTTTAAAAGCGGAAACTTTAGTAAATTGTTGACTTGTGATATATGAGATCAAAGAATCGTTGTTAATCTTATTTACACGAAATATATCTGGTAAACTGACGAGTTATTTGACAAGAAATGATGTTTATCTGAAACGGCTTGTAAACCCTCGCCTTTTGATGGGTTTTGATCAGTCACCATAAAAGTCAAATGCAAAGTCACTTCAGTCCAAGGGTCCTATGGAGAAAGGTGTTTCAACTTCTTTTTCTAATACGTCCGCACCGAAAAAAATATAAAAGTTCTTGAAAAAGAAAGCGAGTAAAGTGGAGTTTTCATTGATTGGAGAAATGAAAAGATATATTGAATCAATCTATGGGATATGAAATAGAAGCGTGTCAAGATGATTTATTGAAAATAATTAGTAGTATTGGTGTGAAGACGTGTAAATAATGAAGATTGCGTCTCTTAATATATGTGGTTCGGGTACTTTAAAGAAAAGGAGACGAGTGACACTTTGTTTATTGGGCATTCAAGAAACTCGGATGTCGAGGTAGGATTTATTTAAGGTGAGAATAACTGAGTTTGATTTTGCAAGTAGTATTGATATAAGTCTTCATGAGGTATTATTTCGATATGGGATTCGATAATCTTCATAAAATATAATATCGTTTGTATGGATAATTCTGTCATTATAGAGGGCGAATGGGTCATATGTAGACTTAGATTTGTTAATATGAATGTTTACACTCCACAAGACATAAGAGGTAAGACATTTGGAATTTGATTATGATGTACATGAAGAGAAAGGGTGTCATTTTCTTTGTGTTTGGTGATTTTAATGTTGTGCGATGTTATGAGGGATGACTTGGTTTTTTTGTCAAAACTTTATTGCCGAATAGTAACGTCGCACTCTTCTACTCTTGAACTACACATATTCAAGATTTATACCTCTCAACCAACACCTAATGTAATCATTAGGAGATGTCAAAGACTAATATACCATTTCATGGGTCCACTCATTATCCTTATGTAACACTCATAAAATTCAAGCCAATTTAAAACTTTTCAAATATTTGAAACCAACAGTTATTACAGATTTGTTTTCAAAATAGTCTATATCAGAGTTTTTCCCAGAAACATAAATAAAACATGAGGAGCTGTACGATCATGCCTTCGCCTTGCCGCGATCCCTTGATGTACCTGAAACAATAAATTAAAACTGTAAGTCCGAAAGCTTAGTGAGTTTCCCCAAAATACCGATACACTGCAGATAATATATATATATATATATATATATATATATATATATATATACAAATAACAGCATATACTGGGTCCACAACTTTACAGACTGGATTACCCCCTGGGCCCACAGTGTGAGTCTGGATTGCCTTATGGGCTCACAGCTCACATCTGGATTGCCACCGAGCCCACAGTACGAGTCTCCCTCAGCTCGTATCTGGAATGCCCTCGGGTTTGTTGGTTACCGCACGGAGCAGTATCGCCTCAACCCATTTCACATAATATGTCGACATATAACATAACTAATGCACATACAGATAATCATACAGAATCACAGGTAGTCCTACAGATCTACCAGACTAGCATATCACTGGCATACATCACTAGCTCAAACCTAACATATCAATAACTACTAGGATATCAAATCCAATGGGCCGGCCTTGGTGCCTTAGACCCCTTAGTATAGTGAGGATAACTCACCTCACACTGTCGACTCGAAGGTAAACTCAAGCTCTCGGATTGCCGGCACAAACTCCACCACCTATATTCACCATAGAACCATACTTGTAACTTTCCAATTTCCCAAAATGCCCCCAGAAGTCCACTGGTCAACCCCTGGTCATAGTCAAAGTCATTGGTCAAGGTCAACAGTCCATGTTGACCTAAACTCGTCGAGTACCCTCAGCTACTCGCCGAGTTCCTTGCATAACTCGCCAACTCGCCGAGTCACTAGAGTGACTCGTCGAGTTCCTAAGGTTTGCGGCCATAACCTTTATGGCCAGCTCGTCGAGTTCCTATTGCAACTCGCCAAGCCCATATGTGTCCAAAGGTTGGGAAACCCTAGCCGACTCGCCGAGTCACTAATCTGACTCGCCGAGCCCACGACAATCTTTATCGGACTCGCCGAGTCGACCATGCGACTCGCCGAGTCCCTTCAGTCCTTCGTCCATACAGAGGCTTTTTAAGCCATGCAAAGGCTCCAAATTGTAGATCGAGCTTCCCAAGGCATGTTTATCACGTAAAGTTGCAAACTTTACGTGCATGCAAAGCTCCAAAGTCTTAAAATGACAAACTAAGCTTGTAAAGAAGTCTCACACTTGAGGGAAGGTTCATGCTTGTCAAAGCTAAAAACTTTATGGACTTAGAGACCAAGGAGAGTCCAGATCTGAAGTTACAACTTCAGATCTTAGCTTATACCCAAGAATGGCTTCTTATTATGCTAGAAAAGCCCTAAAATCCACCCAAAAGAGATCTAGAATGAAATGGGGTTAAGATAACAACTTAATACCTTCCAAAAGATGCCAACTGAAGTAGATCTTGATTCCCACGAGTTCCTTGCTTCAATCCACTTGTTTCCCCAAGTTTTCCTCACGAAGATCCTTCTTCCAAGCTTAAACACACCAATGGAGTACACACACACACACACACGATTTAGGGTTTTAGAGTGTCAAGGGGCTGTAAAGGGGAGGCTGGGGGAGGCTAATGATCCTTTAAATAGGGTGCAAAACCCCGAAATTTAGGGTTTCATCTGCCAGCTCCTACCCGTTGAGTCCCTTCTTGGACTCGGCGAGTAGGTCACTAAAACACGTGGACCAACCCGCTGCTACTCGACGAGTAGGGCAACCAACTCGTCGAGTAGACCTTGAAATCAAGAAAATCTTATATAAAAATCAATATCTGAGAATCGGGGCGTTACACCTTAGCTCACAACGCATCTTAAGTGTCCTAATATAATTGATAGGAACCAAGGAGACCAAATGAATGAACAAAACTCGAGACACAAGCAAAACACAAAGCACAAAAAAAGATATAGAATGTTAGACGTGTTGCACCCGACACTTTTGTTCTATCCTCCCAATAAGCTATACAAACTTGATCGTAGTTACTGAATTGGTCAACTCTCAAGTCAAACACAAGTTGACCAACTTGTCACATTTGACCATTCTCTACAAAATATTCGTTACACTAAATTTCTATAATATTTTAAATATTCACCAGTAACACAATCTATTGTTATTATTTTTTATCATTTATTGAATTTTCAATTATTAAATTTATTTATTTATTTTAATCATTTTTTTATTTATTTGGTATAAAAATTATAATTTGCTTAAAACTTCTAGCCATAAAAATTGAATGTTACCCTGCCCTTTTAGTTTTTATCTAATTTTATATTATCCTAAACTTACATAATATAGTTTTAGTGTTTTACTAAATACAAATCACTTTTATACAAATAAAAACAACAAAAGATAATATCTATTTTTCTGTTTTACAAACACACCTTTATATCACAAACAAGTTTTATTAAATTTGACGTGCAATGAAACTCATGCTAATAAAATAGAATTACAAAGCTTCATCCTCTTTTAAATATAAAACATGAGTCCAACATTTGGTATCTATATAGAAACGTGAAATATCATTTTTCACTCTCTATTCGGACCTGAATTCGGAAAAATATGCATTTTTGTGTTGTGTATCTTTTAATTCACGAGTTCCAGGTTTTAACCACCCAATTCCTCTGTCATCATCAATGGCCCCGCCGAAAGGAGGAGGAACCTTCTCCTTTTTGACGGATATAGATCACAAATTCCGTATGCGATTTTTGATTGACTACCTGAATGTAAGTTAATTAACTTTTCCAATGGGGAATTGTTGTAACTTCGCGGTGTGCGGAGAGTGTTGTATGACACGATCATTTGGCTCAGCCGGCCTAAAATCTACAATCACCACCCTCCACGACGGCGACACCACCATCCACTGCTGGGTACCAAAAAAATATAAACTCACCAAACCTAATTTGCTCCTGATTCATGGTATTGGAGCCAACGCGAAATGGCAGTGGACTCGAATAATCTCCAGCGTCACTCCCCTTTTCAACGTCTACGTTCCCGATTTGCCCTTTTACGGCGACTCCTACACGTCGCGACTTGATCGGACGGAGCACTTCCAGGCGGAGTGCGTGATGATGACGATGGAGGCGTTGGGAGTGATGGGGAAAATTAACCTGGTGGGGCTTAGCTACGGTGGGTTTGTTGGGTATAGCATGGCGGCGAAGTTCCCGGAGGCGTTTGAGAGGGTGGTGATTCTCGGTGCTGGGGTTTGTTTGGATTCGGAGATAGATTTGGAAGAGGGTTTGTTTAGTGCTAAAAACATCAAAGATGCTGCAAACATTTTGCTTGCTCAAACGCCTGAAGGAATCAGGGAATTGTTGACGATTACCTTCTTTAACCCTCCCAATGTGAATTGTGCACCCAATTGCTTGCTCAACGATTTTATCGAAGTAAGTCTTTTTCGATGATTGTTAGCACATATAAATCATATATGGAGTTGGAATGAGTTCATGAGTTCAAGATGAATACTTTATCTTGGTCAACTCCACCCCTGATATTATCTTCGTCTGAAATGGAATTCAATTCCATTCCAATTCCAATTCCGATTCCGATTTTGGCTGAAATGAGTACGGAAAGGAATTGAATTCCGTTACTCTCGTAACCCTAGAATTTCACTAGCGAATGTGTATGAAAATGAGTACGTGTTTATTCTTTTTCCAGGAAATGAACGTTGAATACTTTGAAGAGAAGAAAGAATGTATCGAAGCTGTACAAAAGGATAGAAAGTTTGCTGACCTTCCTAAGATCCCTCAGGTAATTCAAATAATAATAATAATAATAATAAACGAGAAGGGTATTTATGTCTTTTGCACAGATAACAGACTCAAAATCCGAGTTTGAGTCCCAGTCCCATGAATTGTGTATTGAAATTTTGATTACTTGATTCCAGCCAACACTAATCATTTGGGGAGAAGAAGATCAGATTTTCCCTTTGGATTTGGGCTACAGGTTAAAAAGGCAAGTACAAATTTACCAATATATGATGATTGTTTATTTTTTTTTACGTAACTAACAAAGAAAGCATGACTAATATTATTTAGATTGTAATGAACTTGAATTACGTTTAAATCTTTAGTTTCGTAAATAATAAATTTAATAATTATAATCAGATAATATATCAAATAATGTTCAAACTTAAAACTATACCTTTTATTTTACATATCATATAAAAAATTCATATGAAAATTCACTTCATGCCTATAAGTCAACCAAACGTGATCATGAAATGTAACAAACTCTTTCATGACCTTTCGACATTTTATTCATTTGTTATTCCATTACATCGAAATCTTTTAAAAATTGGGGTACCATATTCTTTTGACAAAAAGCAAAAAACCAAAAATGATTCATAAAATTAATTACTTTGTGATTTTTACAGTCATTTAGGTGAAATTGCGGATCTTGTAGTTTTAAAGGAGACAGGTCACGCAGTCAACATGGAGCAACCGAAAGAGTTGATTAGACTTTTTAAGTTATTCTTCATCGAACGATCTTTTCCTCAACGTGAAAACACTGGGAAAGGGACACCGCTTTTGCGTTGAATAAGTTATGCATTCGATTTGTCATGTTGCGTATTTTGTACACCTTATGTACATAATGCAACTAAAGATACAAAATAAGTTTTGAATAATTGTTATGACACGCTTACATCAAGTACTTTATGTATGCAAGTTAAACATAAATGATTATGTTACAATGTTGTTGTTAGTTGGGATTACAATTTGCTATTGTCATAGTTGTGAATTAGTTGGCAGTTAGCCAATTACTATGGCACGACTAAATTGTAGTTATGATTGTTTTTGGGATCATTATTGCAGTATATATTTTGATCTCCTTTTGTGTTAAAACACAAGAAATAAGAAAAAAAAAAGATTAAAAGAAAAAAAAAATAGCAAATGCCACAAAACTTTGGACAATAATATTCTTTAGGCAAATATGCAAAAGTACTTAGTATTATTATTATTTTCATATTCTTTCCTTTGTTTCGGAGTCGGAGATGCCCTCGTTCATGTATTCTTGGCGTAACATAGAGTTCAAAATCTAATTTATTTAATGTTGTTTCATATCATCTTTGATATAATAAAGTGTTATTTCAGACCAACTATTTTTTATCACTAGAATGTGCAATGTTGTAATAAGAAAAAAAAAAAAAGTTGAATGCACATCTTTTAAATCCTACTCCTACACTATTTATTATTATTATTATTTTTCATATTCTTTCCTTCGTCTCAGAGTCTCCTCCCGGGTTCATGTACTATTGGCGTAACTTAGAGTTCAAAATCTAATTTATTTAATGCTGTTTCATATTATCTTTGATATAATAAAGTATTATTTCAGACTAAGTATTTTTTTATTACTAGACGAGAATATGCAATATTGTAATAGGAATTTTTTTTTTTGTTTGAATTGGCACATCTTTTAAATCCCACTCCAACATTATTTATTTGGTCCATGACTTGAGCCTTCAACCCGTTTAGAGTAGAGACATTACGCCAAAGATCATTTGGTAATAGAAAACTTGTTATCTTATTGTGACACTTTGTAAACTACTTATTTTGCAAGAATGTTTATTTTTATTAATTTATACAACAATGTTTTTTTTATCAACTAACACGAATTATCCAACCACAATTCAACCTGTTAAACACATTACATTGTTGCAATTTTCCTAAAAACCCACATTTATTATATACATACATAGCATAAATCCATGCATCTGTTCATCCATCCACACACATACATCCATACACACAAAGATTTGTGTGGTTCATAGCATTGCGTAAGCAACAAAAAAGAGATGATCTTGTAGCGAAATACATAGTTTCAGAATTTAAAGTAATATAGTTTTTTTTGCATTTGTAACATCCCAAAATCAAATATAATTTTTTTTTTATAAAATCAGAGTATGAATGATGTTATGGAGGTTCCCTCCATAACATCATCAATCATAATGTATCAAAGTCATCATAAAAAACGGAATCTAAAACTTGTTTTGAAAACAAAGTCAACAAAAGATAAACATAAAGTGGATGTCATGCCCCCGAGGAATATCCAGATCTCCTAGTCAAACCAGTTCCTTGCCCTTTGAACCTAGGACATGCAACTAAAGAAATAAGGTAGCAACTATAAGCCTACGACTTAGTAAGAAATCATAACACTTATTCATCATATAGATCATATGCATTCCACATAGTATATATATAAGCATCAAATAACAAACACATATTATTGATATTCTAACACATATTGTTGGTACCAACTTTAGCTGATTCCCCCAAATGGTCTATCTTAGACACTACCAACTAGGACTAATCATTTCCCCCGAAGGGTCTGTTATCATCATCCAAACATTGACCACTTCCCCTAAAGGGTCTATCATGGTCTTGAACCCAACTAGATTCCCTGAGGGGCTAGACTCTAGCTGACATACACATAATATATGGTCTATATAATAATTAAGTTTATGAGAACTCACTCGATTGACTGATAAGGAAATCCACACAGTGAGCTAAGCGATATAGAAGTTGCCTCGAACCACTTCACAATAATTAACCCTAATTTAATAATTAAGTTAAAATATTTATCTACACTTGTTTGTTTTTTCGATGTCCAACTTACGAGCTTTCCATCTAAGAATTGACAGCCGCCTGATGTACTTTTACGATCAAGACCACACCATCCTAAATATGCATTGGAGAATGCCTGCACAAAGACCCATGTATTATATGGATACCATAAACCAAGAGAAGTAGTTCTCCAAAGATATCTGAAAATATTCTTCACAACAATCATGTGAGGTTCTTGTGGATTTGCTTGATATCTCACACAATAACAAACAACAAACACTATGTCAGGTCTACTAGATGTTAAATAAATAAAGGACCTAATCATTTGTCGATACAATGTAAGGTCATCTGATGGTTTGTCAAGCGAAGGAGTAAGCTTAGTTCTGAACGTCATTGGAACTTTCACCTTTGTTTCTTCATTTATGCCAAATTTGTAAGTAAGGACATCGTGAAAGCTTCCTTGTTTATGAAAATTCCCTCTTTGCTCTGTCTAATATTCAATTCAAGAAAAAAGTTAATCGGACCCATTGAGCTCATCTCGAATTTAGTCTCCATTAATTTTCGGAATTCAACAATCAACTTAGGATTTGTTGAACCGAAAATAATATCATCAACATAGATTTGGATAATCATAAAATGATCACCATCTTTCTTACGAAAGTAAGTAGGGTCTACAGAACCTTGTTTAAACTTGGATTGTTTAAGAAAGTGAGTAAGAGTTTCATTCCATGCACGAGGAGCTTGCTTAAGTCCATATACAACTTTATCAAGAATATAACAATGATCCGGACATTGTTCATTAACGAAACCTTGTGGTTGTTCAACATAAACAATTTCTTCAATTTTGCCATTAAGAAATGCACATTTCACATCCATTTGGAAAACTTCAAAGTTCTTGTGAGCGGAATATGCTAGAAAAATGCCAACTGGCTCCAATCTTGCAACAACTTCAAACGTCTCTTCATAGTCTATACATTCTTCTTGATAATACCCTTTAACTACAAGACATGCTTTGTTCCTTACAATGTTTCCTTATTTATCCATATTATTCTGAAATATCCATTTCAAACCAACTACATATGCATTTAGAGGTTTCAGAATTAATCTCCAAACCTTGTTTCTTTTAAATTCATTCAGCTCGTCTTGCATAGCTTTCACCCAATCTGCATGATCAATAGCAATTTTCACAGCTTTAGGTTCAAATTTAGATATAAATGAATGAAGCATGCAAAATTCTTGATTTTTATTTAATAAATCTTGTTTCTCTTTTTGTTGTGCTCGTGTGAGAACACCACTTGTGTAACATCCGTGTTCCATGTAATTTTCAATTCCGGCTTAAAGTTTAAAAAAGTTGCATTTCGGTCCTTACATAGGGCATACCCCATAGGTACGCCATTCTTAACTAACTAAAAGGGTGACGGGGCTCTTTTGAGTACGCTGGGTGTACTCTAGTAGTACGTAGGGTGTAACGCCCTGTTCCGAATCGATTCCTAATTCGAGGCTGTGGCCCGAAGAGCGGTCATCAAAAGGCCTTGAAAAAGGTAAGATTTAGGCCCATTTGGATGTGGGTGATGTAGATATGTGACCCAATAGTTCGGTTTGCACTTTGGAGTCAAAGGGTAAATGGGAATGTAGTGTTTCAGACTCTTTTATGAATTATGGATTTTAGTTCGATGTGTTTTAAGTCAAAAATAATTAGATAGGGTTGTAGATATCCTAAATACCTTTCCGGGGATATAAAGAACGTCGAAAACGGAGTTAGAACGAAGAAGTTATGACCGTTTGAAGTTTGGGTGGTTTTGGGCCAAGCTGAGTACGATGGGCATATAAAAAGGTGTACGTTGGGCATACTAATGGAATCCTGAGTACGCTGGGCATACGCAATCAGTGCCCAAACCCTATTTTCATGGTTTAAGCCCTATTTAAGCTCCTTAACTCCCCCAAACCCACTCCATTCTCAGCCTCCACCCCTCCAATACCCTTTTCATGAAACCCTAACCTTAGATGAGCCTTTTGAGCTAAAAGAAGGTGATTTTGAGTGCTTTGGAGTATGCATATTGCACCTTGGAGGAGAAGAAACTTCTTGTAGAAGTGTTGATTGCATTGGAGCTTGTAGATCTGGACTTTGTTCACCTTGATCTATCTTCTAGAGGTATAAAGTTTGAATCTTGATGATGCATTTGTTAGATCTAGCTAGTTTTGGATGTTATGAGCTTTTGGTCCATTTAGTGCATAAAGTTTAGATCTTGAAAGTTTGTGACATTTTTATGGATAAAGTTGGAAACTTTATCCATCTAAACATCATTGTGATTCAGATCTGAAGGTTGGAGACTTGGACTTAATGGATTAAGTTGAAAAAGATGCACTTTTGGTCCCATTTGATGCTTAAAGGCTAGATCTTGGTGGTTTGGACCATTCTAATGGATAAAGTTGGAAACTTTATCCATTATGGAGCTTTTAGGATCCATAAAAATGTAATCTTGACCCTTCTATACCTTCTATGAGAGTGTCATGATGTCATAAAAATGTAATCTTGATCCTTCTATACCTTCTATGAGGGTTTCCATGGAATCCTTAGTAAAGACCTCGGGGGGTCCCGAGGCACTTGGGTGTAAGACCTTGGAGGTTTCCATGGCATCCTTAGTAAAGACCTCGGGGGTTCCCGAGGCACTTGGGTGTAAGACCTTGGAGAGTTTCCATATCCTCAGTTAAGACCATTTGGGGATTCCCATGACATTGGGCTAAGACCATGTGGGGGTTCCCATGGCACCCGATGTAAGACCTTGGAGGGTATCCATGGCATCCTTATATGTTTATATGCATGGCGTATGTGATTGATATGGTTTATGTGATTATGTGGATTGTGTGGGGTATGTTATGGGGAACTCACTAAGCTTCGTGCATACATTTTTGTTTATGGTTTCAGGTATCATTGGTTTGGAAAGGAAGGGCTCGGCTTGATCGCAGCGTACACA